GCTAAGTTACTTGGCATTCTGGCCGTGAATGTAAATAACAACCGACGATGGTACATACAGTGTTATGGCAGCAGTAATAATACACACACACACATTGGACGGTGTCAGCACAGTATCTCTGCATTATTTGTTATAGGCTGATAAATCAAAAAGGAAAGTGTTGCATTTGCATCATTAAGTCTAAATAAATATTCACTTCCAGCTTCAGTTCCGCACAGAAGGTCTGTGTTGAAGAAACACGAGCCGCTCTGATTATTTCCAGCTCTACAGCCACGGGGATACGACATCAGTAGTCGATGCAGGTAACAAGCATTACTAGGATAAGCAACTACGGTACGACCAAACTACTTCACACGAACGATAACTGGAAACTGATAGCCAAGGAACACAGATGTCAGAATTCCTTCAAGATTTCATTAAAACGCTAAAGGTCACGTAACAGTCTATTAGTTAGAGTTTAACAGTCATCAGACGCCTACTGAAATACTCACAACCTCGACTGAGGAGAGCATCACACACCGTGTCGAGTAAGGTGCTCGCGGACGCCTTAACAGTCATAGATCGCTGAAGAAAGCTATCAGAGAGTATTAACAGTTCTTGTCAGTATCTATTGAATATAATTTTATAAATTTGCTTATCGTCAGTAGCTTCAAAGTTTAGATAACAAAGTCACTCACAAAAAAATGTAATGTGTAATATCATCTTTTAAAAAAACACACAGTAATGATTAAGAGTAAAGTGATTAGATTTTCCTCTGTAAAATGACATTGCATTGTCCCACAAGGTTAGCTGAGTATCACTGTGTTCCAGTTAGTTAGAGAGCTGCCCCGGCTGGCCACAGTAACATCACAGTCTGAGTAGTGTGTGTGATGCCTAAATATAATATCTATTGTTTCACAAGTGTGCAACTCTTTTAAGTACATCACAAAGACCACTACAGTCACTGTTATCATTGGAATAGATAAATCAAAGCCATTATATACAAAGAGACTCAACAGTTATCCTTAATGCTTGTTCTTGGTTTGAGGCATTCAGATTACGGGTCCAGACTTAGAAGAACCAAAGCAGGCTGGCTCAGATTCTCACAGCTGTACAGCAGCATTGCCTGGTAGCTAAACATCCACAGCAAAGAAAATAAACTCTGCGACTGGACGGTCGAATTGAAAAGTGTAACTATGCCAGACATCCGCTACGCTATATGACCCCACTCACAGAGCAAATGTACAGCAGCTAAAGCCACAATGCTGCAAGTTACACAACCTTGTTCCATGGCAACCATGTTGATGATTTGACAGCAACTGCTCAGCAGCTCCCGCTGTGCGCCTCAGTCGGCCTTGTCCTCGCCGTTCTTGGCCCACCCTCGGCTCATCGCCGCTACCACGATGCTGTACATGTTGAGCCAGGCTTGACGCAGCGGTGCCGTGTAGGCCTGGCCCAGACTGCACTGCAGCATGTAGAGAAGGGACTCACCCACCACCTGCAGGAGTGAAAACAAACAAGTACACAAACACAACACACAGTTTTACACAGATCATTCATTTGTGAAATCGCTGCTTGAGAGTTTTACTATGAGACGTTGGTCGTACAGCAAATGACTGTGTGTTGACTCCCACTGCCTGATGCTTCCTCCCGAGGTTGAGCAGAAAGTCCTCCAAGGAGTGAAGGTCATCCAGGTGGCTGACGGCTGCATCGATCACAAGCATCACCTGGGATCAGGGGCACAGACGGGTGCAACAACACAAACAGAGAGCGTTAAAAAAAAAAACACTGTGCACAAGTAAAGCTCCAAATGTGTGTATACTTGTAGCGGTCGCTGTGGTGAACAGAGCTCACCTTGGTGACATGGTCCAGGAACTCAGGGCTGGAGAGGCAGTCTTGTGTGGAACCACAGTTTGTACTGTAGTGGAAAAGACTGAGGAGCGCAGGGTCCAGCTCAAACAGTCTACCACAGACAAATACCACACTATTCTATAGGTGTATACAGATGGCACGGGTTCAAACATTCACACGGACACAGAATCAATCTGTAAATCATACATCTACAAATCTCTCCTGCTAGCGTCTGATTTAGCAGCAGCTGTCTCAAAGTAAATTGTGGATTATTGCAGTCTGTCGCCAAGCAACAAGTCAAGCCTCCGGTCCCTGCACGGTGAAAGTGTACAGCAAAGGATCTAGCCTGGTTCTCTCTCCACACACCTGTGTTAGTAAGTAGCATAACAAAAAAACACAGCAACATCCTGTCACTTTTGCTTTAAGTGCTGTTAGAAACCAACAGAAGATCATCTGCACAGAAAAGCATCCTTCAGTTCTCTCATAAGTTACTTGACTGTCTGAGCTGATCGTGGAGGACTTTACCTGGAAAACATGACGACGCCGTGAGGAACTTTGTTGTTGCCCAGGCTCTCCCAGCTGCCTCGTATCAGCTCCTTGTCTTTCCCTGACAGCTTCTCCATCCTCCCTCAGGCTGCGAGCACGAGACAACTTCTTCTGGAGGAGGGGGGGAAACACACAACTCCTCTACAGGACGAGAAGGCTCAGTTTGAGGAAAGCCATAATATTTGGGTGAATCCACTGACAAAACTTCTGCCAACCCACCTGAAAAACAAAGTGGAGCATCAAGTGAGCACAGCTGATTTGCTAACACTGTCTTATATGTAAAGAAGGTGGACGGAGGAGGGGGGACACACGGCTGCAGGACAAATGAGCGAGAGACATACAATCATACTGTACCTTTCTGAGGTCAGTCTTCTCTCTGAACTTCTTCAGCCGGGCTGTGGGCTCTGGTCTGTTTCTCTGTGTGTGAGTGTGAGTGAGTGAGTGTTTATGTGTGCAGGCAGCAGCCTTGCCTGACACTCTGGTGCACTTGTTCTCTCTTTCCCCGGCCCACGGTGCAGTCGGGAAGACAAGTTCTGCCACGCTCTTATCTGTCACACTGGCTGCTATCTCTCTCCCCTTCCCGTTTGCCTCTTGATATGCTCTCTCTCCAGCACTGGGGATATTATTCATGCCACTGAAGGAGAAAAAGAGGGATCTCTCTCTTCTGCTCCAGAGAGGCTGCAGCGAGCCACAGCTCCTCCTGCAGGTGAACCGAGGACTAGAACATACAGAGGCTCTCCACGCACACATAGCATGCATTGCACTTAAGCAACAACAACAAAAAAAAACTTGGCAATTGGACTTTACAGGCACAAACAAGTGAATAAAAAATAAATAAGAAATTAAAACGAACAACCAAATAGCCAGAAAAACACACAACACAAGCATTTTACGGAGCAACTGCTGGTTTAAAACAAGTGACATCCATTTGAGGCCCCGCGTCATCTATTCTAGGAAGTGTCCTCATGCAACCCATGCATTTACAAAATTAAATGTGTGGGAATTTTAATATCGTGCAGCGGCTACAATAATAAGAGACCTGAACACGCCACCTTGGTGAAATTATATTGTTCATCTGCTAAGCAAGAGCCACTCCTCAAACAGCGTGATCATAACATTCAGCGGCCAAGTGTGCAGCCTCTCATTAATCTAAATGAGATGTGTTCGCTGCCTTTCTCTGCCTCCACACACACAGATTTGAGGCTGCAGCTTGTTTAAAGAGATGTCACAGCCGTCTGCTCCCGCACGCATTTTCGCCGATGCAGGTTCCCACTCAGATATTACCTAACAGGTTGGGAGAGATTGGTTTTGTTTTCAGCTGTGCATCAGGGAATCAGAGGTGCACAGCTTTTCTCCTGAGGGACTACGAGGCAGAGTGGGGAGGGATACACGGTTCCCATGACAACCTGACAGGATGGAGCCCTTGAAGCTTTGTCATGTGATATTTGCGATTTCAAAGAAGGGACTCTACGGTTATTTATTACATTTATATACACGATATAACAATTTTTTTCTACTTTTTATGTCTTTTTAATTATATAAAATTAGTATATTTTAATACCTAGACATTCATGCTGAATGCAATTACAGTCCTGTTTTATGCCATTCTTTGCAGAGATGCACTCAGTCTAGCATAAAATTATACAAACCTGCATGTAACATTATCTACATGTTACATTTCAAATATGCATTTACAGTTTTAGACTGTTTAGTCGATGACTTCTCATGTTTTAATCTGAATTCACCGCAAACCTTGACTTGCTTCAAAGCCTGACACACTAGCCTAGAAAAGGTAACTATATGTTATGCGCTGATCCCCCATGATGACCTTTTGATTATGTATATGTACATATTCAGACATTCCCATGTGGTTTCTAAGTAAAAATCATCTCTTCAATTCCTGGCAGTCTGCTGTCAAAGCACAAGAGCACAGAGGAGGCCAGTGTTCAAGAGCATTTGATGTGGATCTGCAGGCTTTGAGGAGACCACTGAACCGGTCTGTGTGAGTGCAGATTCACGGAGAAGATTGTTTATTTAGGTGGCAATGTGGCTGCAGAAATAACTGGGAACTTTAACCAAGTCATCTACAGAAAAGTGCATGTCAGACGCTTGGGGTTCCTGTGGGACCTGTTCAATTAAACGGCATACATGGCTTTAATTCTTTTACATTGCATGAATGAAAAAGCAGCTCTGAGCATCGTCAGGCACATTATCTCACATCTACGTTATCATTTCAGTGTGGCTTTTGGAAGTTTCTTTTCTCACATTAATGTTTCAGACAAAGTAGCCTCTACTGGTGTTTTGTTTTTTTTACCGTTTATTCTGGTAGCCACGTGTTCATCACCCTCTAAATTACAGTCTTCATATTTCTTAGCGAAATTGTTGTCGTAAAACGCAAAGCTTTTTTATTGTGTGTATATATACATTTATATGTGCACATTTGTGTGTGTGTGCGATCCGTATAAAATATTAATTACTTATAAACATATAGAGTTATAAACTTTTATTTCCAGTTGTAATCCATAACATTTTTCATTGTAAAGTCCAGATGTTTTGTAATTTCATAATTTATAGCTGTAGATCTTAAACTATCAAACGTTTTGTGCGGATAGTTAGCCGTGACATGAATCATTTTTAAAGACAGTGTTGTTTTCTAGCGGAGAGGCCGCAAAAAACTCAGTGCCGCCTGAACCTTTTTGATCATGGCATTTCTTCCCCTTTGGACTTCACGCTCTTCTCTTCCACATCTTCAATTTTCTCCCCGTCGTCTACATTTTCTTCCCTAAATCAGACATGTTGGGATAGAAAATGGCTATATTGTAATTACATCGAACTTTTACTTGGCTACAGTATTTGTCTTTTCTTCGCTAAAGACAGCAGAGCAAGCTCAGAAAATTATGTAATGTAATATGACCAAACCACATGAAGTCCTTGGCTCTCCAGCAGCTGTGCTATTCATAATTTTACCGGACACAGTGGTATTACACAGTGGATGAACAAAACTTGCTATAAATTCTCCCTCTGCATACCTGCTGTGAATGTCATTTTCGGTGCTGTGGTCGCTCACGTCTGTGTCATCCTCAGGTCTGAGAGCTTTTCCATTTTCTTCAACAAATTGCTCCTTCACCCCAGCGCTCAACAGCTTGCTCCTGTACGTCTGCTCCGCACGGGCCCTCGCATTTCTCTGCCGGTAAAAACTCACAGTTAAGCAGGTGGAGGTCATTCACAGCGTGTAGTAATGCTCCAGCTTTATGTCATTTACCTGTTTCACCTGCTCAAACAAATAAGGGCGTTCACTAACTCTTGCCTTCATGTCCCGTAATTCTCTCATGTACTCTCTCATCCTTTGTTGATCAGCCTCCCTTCATGTAAGAGAAGATTATAGTTTTAGCTGCTGTGGCAGGCACGTGTGGTTGTTGTGATGTGAGGTTGCAAAACTGCAGAATCAACAGCCTCGCTTGGCCAGAGCTCACCGATGGTGCTGGAGGTTTTCATAAAACACTTCTTTTAAGCTGCTGTGTGGGTCCAGCAGCTTTGCATGGAGGGCTACCGTCTTCTTCATGGCTTGGGATCTCATTTGATGGTTCCTCATCCAGTCTGCGCTCTCTTGATTCTTACTGTCCCTCAACTCCATTGATTTTCTGTTAAGATAAAAAATAACCTGCTGTTTAGTGTGTGGAAACTATACAGAGGTAAATCTTACTGTCAGTAGTTCTAAAGTCATGCTAAAATAATCCAGCTCACCTGATGGCCGTGCAGCGCTTCCTCGCAGCGTCTGTGATGAATGTAGGAAGTGTGTCAGTGGACAATAAGGCCCCGAGTGACTTGCTTCTGCTGAGATTACTCTTTTTTGGTGCCTGTAGATTGGGAGAAAAAAACATACGGATCACACTTTTATCGGCTGCAATCAAAACTAAATGTGTAGTTTTGCCACATTTGCATCAAATTTGTAATGGACTGTGTGGGAGGAAGCTGGAGAACCCGGAGACAACATGCAAACTCCACGCAGAAAGATCCCGGCTGTCCATGAACCGGCGACCTTCTAGCTGTGAGGCGACGGTGCTCACCACCGAGCCCAAGAACAGATGATTAAATATTTTAGTCTCAGTCATTGGAAGAACTATAAGAGAACTAAAGACCAACGCCAACTATCAATAAATGTTTACATTGTGTGGAAAAGCACTAGATGTTTAGTTAAAAGCTGCTTAGTTATAAAGGTTTTCTTTCTTTTTGCAATCTCTCTTTCTAAAAAGCACATTTTAGTTTTCATGTGTAGCAACAATTTCTGTGTGAACAATCAATGAAAAAGATTGTTGATAAAATACTGATAGCTTTAAGGACCTTTCATCAAGTTTTTAAATATTTGTTTTTAAGAAAAAATACGCAGTGCACGTGTAAGTTTCCCAATACTTTCCTAAACTAGAGGGTAATTGTGTACAGTTATGACATTACAACATTAGTCTGTAAATATTGTAGCTGTTGCATGTGTACAGTTCCCATCTTCAGCTAAATACAGTCACAAATAGCATTAGTTAAATCACAAGAATCTGCCCAAAAAATGTCAGACAAGTTCCAATAAGCAGAACTCTGGCAATTGGATAATTCTGGGCTGGGTCCCAAGATACATGAAGGGAAGACAGGAAGAAAATTTCACTGATCATAAAGTTCTTTCTGCCTTTTTGGATTAGTGTAGATTGCCGTCATTCTTACCTAATTGCATCTGTAATTATTCTTACTCTTTAATGCTCTCGTGTGAATCATTCACTCAGACAAATTTCGATGACCATATACAGGGATGTTGTTGTGAAATACACGCTTGGTCTCATTATAAAGATTTTGCTGCTTGAGCTCAGGGATAAAAAAGTGAACAAACATGACACGACTGTAGATGCGGCGCTGTAAAAATGGAATTTGAGTTAAATTTCGTAAATTAGGGAGGTGGAGAAAGTTTGAAATATGAGCGTTTAAAGGAGGGGAATATTCCCTCTTTGAAGATGGCCTAATGTGCATGTTTTAAATAGCATCCCGATTCCACAACTGAGGGGACTGGTATGAACGACCTCGAAAAAATAACACATAAGGCATACAAGAGCTTCAACCATACAGATAAATCTTTTCAAACAAATTACTCCCAAAGACACTGACAGGGCAGTAAAACGTGACCTGGTCAAATTCCTTTGTCATATTTTATGAAATAAACACATCTGAGTGTTGTGGGACCACAGGAATATGCTGCATGGTGGAGCTGGCAGGAACTGTGGGATAAACATGTGTTCCTGTTTGGTAAGTCACTCTACATGCTGAAACCATTGTTGATACGGATCTTTTTCAGCAAAGATTTCCGGTAATCGCTATAACATATAGAACACTAAAGGCTTGCAGTGCTCCTTGGAAAAGGAGGAAGAAGGGTACTGACTCGATAAAAAGGTGGGTGGATATGTCTCGAACCATCCATCAAGCAGAAAAGGTGTGAGAGACTTCAAAAAAAAAAGTGCTGCAAAACTATAACATGAAACCATCTGCGCCTGGTGCGTTGGAGTCCCGACAGAAGCACCGGCTCTTCAAAGACAAGCATTATCTTTACATTTATTGTAAAAGATAGTATGTATAATACAATTTCTATTTAATGGGATATTTTTGAGAAAGTCATTCTGCTTCTAAGAAACCTGCTGATTGTGAAAAAACTCGGATTTTATTAATAAATTGCACATTAAGTAATCAATGAAACTAAACTAAAATAAGCTCATAATGTGACAAGCATCTAAAATCAAACTGCACTGACATGATTAACAGCAACAGAAGTAGTAAAAACCAAAGAACAGATTTCCATTTCTCTTAGTGAACAAAACAACAGGTCTCTAGTAAAGAACATCGTCTACCTGTGACTTTTCCGGGCTCGTCCTGCTTTGCCTTGCAGGGAGCGCTGACGTCCTGAGGTTGAAGGGCTGACACTTGGTCATGTCTTTACTCTGCGTCTTCCTCAGCGCCTCTGTCTGCAAGGCCTTGTGCAGCCTGTTGAAGTCGGGGACCTGATGGATGATTTTTGGCTGGAAGCTCGGCTTCTCGTCCAGGAATCCCAGCTTTTCTTTCCTGGTGCGCTCAGCAGTGCGTAGTTTTGGCATGCCAGTCGGAGTGGGGTTCTCCTGCCGGAGCGTTGTCTGAGTGTGGACTTTCCTGCAGTCTTCCTCCTGGTCTACACAGAGTTACAGGGAGATAAGACAGAAGATTGTAGTCGTGTCACTGTGTAAACTGTATTAAAGCTCCTGTACACATGCATCAGATCGGTGTGCAGTATAAACAGTGTAAACAGAGCAGCGGCTGTTGAAAAGTGATTCAATCGTGACCCAGTTAACTATTTCTAAAGACAAACAAAACTTAGACACAGTAAGTTTTTTCAATTTGTGCTTCAAAAATAATGTAAATTAATTAACTGTCTATTATAATATATTCATAATTGTAAACATAACCACAAAGTTTTGGTCTGGTTCATCATTTTCCTTTGTTTTATAACTGAAATGCAAACATTACCCTATCAAACCAAATCTAACTATGAACTTCATGAATGCTAGACCACATAACTAATGTAAGAACAGATCTCCCTTACATTGTCTAATATTAATGTCGAGGGTTCATGCTCAGTGTGTCTGCCTTCACACTTCAATCCTGCAGAGTTTCACCTCTCCAGGCCTCTTTGTACACATCACTCTCCAGGTGAACTGTTCACAACCTACTGACATATCCAGCTTACAGCAAAGGGTCATGGGTAGGCTTTGCATGGCTGCAAAGTGTCACAAGCCAAAAACATGAAGAACAAATGATCTATATGATCTGTATATTCATATTAATTTAATCTAGTATACCAAACCACGAGTCGTCAGAAAAGAAAACCCACCTTTCAGCTTAGAGTCTGGCGAGTCCTTTTTGTCTTTGGTAGGAGGTTTTCTAACAGCAGTAACACTGTCTTTCTGTGAATCTTGGTTTAACATTGCTACCAGCTTCTCCCTTTTCTCCTTTTCTCTCTCCTGGAAGCTGAAAGGTTTTTGAATGGACAGCAGGAATTGCCTCCTCTGCTCATGGCCTTGTTTCCTCTCCTTCTCTCTCAGCTCCATCATCTCCTGGTAGATGGGCTGAACGACATTGGTGGGGACAGGGAGGGCACAGAACTTCTTCTGACACTCAGCCTCGGCCTCTTCCTCTTTGCTTAGCTGTGTTGTCTTAGTTAAAACTAACCGCTCACACTCTTGAGCCCTGACAGAACAATTCTTCCAGTTTGTTGAAGATACCCAGGCTGGAGAAGACGTGTTTGGCCTCTCTGACTGTTTGGGACTGTGGGAGGTGGGAGGCCTCATTCCTACATATCTGCAAAATAGAAAACCTCTTTAGAATCGATCATTTAGAATTAGAACACATCATAAAAGTCACTTCAGGAAACATACTTGGTCTGATGGTTCTGTTCTTTTCTATCATGAGACTCTCTGTCTACATCTGCTGACAGGAGAGCATCCTGATGGATCCTCTTCTCCAGCTCCTCTGTCTGTCTCCTCTGTGTCTCCTGCAGCTGCTGTCTGAGGGTTTTTCTCAGAGCCTTGAGGTGCTGCTTGAGCATTAGCTCTGATCGGAGTCGGTCTTCCAGCAAGGCCTCCGGCTTTGGCATTTTGCATTTGGCATGACCTGTAGTTAAATAAAACAAGAGAGAGTAAAGTTAAAGATGGACATTTTTTAATCTAATCTTTCCTTTTGTAGACCAAACCATTATGCAAGAAAATAATACAACATACATATATAATCAATGACTTTTAGGCTTACTTGTAGTTCATAGAGTTTTCAAAAGTAGAATTGGAGGCAAAAGCATTCATCCATCAGGCTCCTCTCCTGAGGACCCAACTCCCAGTTTAAGTTCAAGAGGCAGAAGCTCTCTCTACTTCTCGGCTTAAAAACTTTCCTTTTTGATAAAGCTATTACTTAGGGCTTACCCTCCCATAGTTATGCTGCTACAGAGCAAGGCTGCCGGGAAACTTCCCATGATGCAGCTGTCCTCTACTCTCCTTTCCTTCACTCTCCATCTATTTATATGCCACCAATACAACTTGTGTTCTTCTCTCTTCTCCAGTTTGTGTTTTGTCCTCTCTGCAGGCATCTCTGGCGCTGGAGCTACACATTTCTGATCTGGCTTCACCAGCCTCCCTGCAGTTTGTTGTTTGTTGTGTTTGACTGATTTTTACCTGCAATCCCTATCTCTTACCCTTGATGACCACCATCCCTGAGCCTAGATCTGCCGGTGGTTACTTCAGGTTAAAGGGGAGTTATTATTATTTTTTAATACTGTTGCTAAAAAGCTAACTTTAAAAGGATTTTTTTGGATTTGTTGGGTTTCTCTCTATAATATAATTTGCAATGGCTTCATCTTTGTGTACCAATGAATTGAACTGATCTATAAATCACCATACACTGAATATCCTGGGGGTTTTTAGGGTATTTATTCTGACATGCGCTGTTTGAAAACGTCTCAATGGGCCTGGAAAACTGAATTAGTTGACTTTTTTTTATTTCATTTTACAATAATGGTAAATTAATGATAAATTAAAAGAAGAAAAACAAACAATCAACCAATAATATGACCAAACAGTGAGTCCTAAGGCTGTCTAATATAAACCTGTACTCGTATGAACTTACAGTCTCCTCCTCCAGTGTGTGAACTGTGTAAACACGTTACTATGGCAACCGCGGCTCTCTCCACATAACGTTTAGCTAAAATCCACTTTACGTTCAGCTAAGCGACGTTTCTTTACTTTTATACACTTACACACAAACTTTCCTTCAATCCTCTGCTGCTTAAATTCACATAATCAGCAAATACAATCAACGAAATTAATCTGTAAAGTAATAATTCGCTGCCAACCTGGGAACAGACGACTTTCAGGAAGTATATCTCGGCGTCGAAGCGTCCTTTAAACCCTCAGCAGACACACTACAGCCTATTTGTTGAGCTGGTGTAACTATAAAGTTCTTTCTAGTAAGGATGGAGCGAAGTAAACATGTTTTAAAGGCAGTCGGTCCTCCGTTTCGGCAGCATTAGCACTGTTGGTGGACAGAAGCGGCACCGCCGGCAGCTCAGTGTGCCTTCCTGTGATTGGACAGGAACCCGGAAGTACTTCGTCTGGAGCGTTAGTCAACACAACATGGCAGGATTACAGCAGGGACACAGCTGCACCTCATAGGACACATTCAAGGGGAAACGTCCGTCTGATTATTATATGAAAGTGTTCACACTCCGGAGCTGGGCTGCTTTCTTCTGATCAACGCGGTGGTTTCGTCTCGTGTGAAGACAGACCGAAGGCAGAATGATGCACAAGCTCACAAAGGCGCCGCTGGCCTTAAACGGACTTGGCCGGTGTTTTAATACAGAAAAGCATTGGTCTGCTGTAAAAATCATCAGGCGAGGATTAGTATGTGCACAACATGAGGGCGACTCTGGCAAGAATGAGGTTTATGATGTGATAATATCCGGGGGAGGGATGGTTGGATCTGCAATGGCATGTTCTCTAGGTGAGTGCTGCCCCCTCAGACCTCATCTTGGTGTGTGACCTAGAGATTATGCTCAAAATGTAAAATGATGTCATAAATCAGTGTAGCAATAGTCATCCTGTCTAGCTTGCCCACTTGTAGACGGTCACAGAAACATGTCACACTAAAACAAATACTATCAGATGTGGTGTAGTAGACAAAAAACATGTTGTCAGGTGTTTGAATTAAACAATCGTGCCCATGTATTTCACTGTACTTGTCATTTTTCTACAATATTTACTTCTCATAGGCATGGATCCTAATTTGACGGGTAAGAAAATTCTGCTGCTTGAAGCTGGAAAGAAGAAAGTGATGGACAAGGTGCCGGATGCCTACAGCACCAGAGTGAGCTCCATCAGTCCGGGCTCTGCCACGCTCCTCAGCGGTACAGTATATACTTACAACCTGACACACACACAGTCAGCTTTATCAGATGGTTTTTTAATGTTTGCATCGGAAGAATTTAAACACTGTGATCTTGAGATTGCTTCCTCTCTGTGATAAGTTTGTGCTGCCCGACTATTAAGTGGCTTCCACGGGGTAAGCCAGGGATCAGACACTGCCCAGTCACCCGAGCTTAGCAGGGATCATATCTGACCTTGCTCCTCGTGTGACAGGTCGCTTGGAGTTTATCCTGACGCTGCTTTTTGTTTTAGTAATGATAAGGATGGGAATTTCGCTACAGCCCAAACTGCAGCTAAGTATCTCTCTGCAAAATGTCAAAAGTCAGGGAAAGGGACAGTCGGGGATTTGACACTGTGTAATTTCAGCTGGAGATGGACTCGTCTTTTAAACTTGCTCTTTGCTCTAAATTACCCCTTCGGGTCTAGAATCCATTAAAAACAGCACAACATGACCGTGAGTCCAGACTGGTGCAGTTTGTTGCTGCGTGGAATTACAGACATAAAATAATCATCAGGCTAAATTACTTTGGTTGTCGGACACATAAATTCATCCTAATTCAGCTCTACGTCAACAGCAGCTATTATGTCTGCCCGGGAGATCACACAGTCCAATACACAAAGATAATATGTGTTGTAACAATGATCTTTTTGCAAGTGCCATTCAGGGACAGAGAGCATAAAACTTTCATTAACATCTCATAAGAACTCCTTCCCACAGCTTCCTTGTGCTGTGAACCGTTTATTGGCTTTAAAGTGTCAAACACTTTGTCAGACTTTACGTTTGGCATTTTAAGGTCAAGAGTGAAGTTTTTCAGTGCGAAGAGGTGAACGCGGAACATTGTGCTTGGCTATTAAATTAAATTGTTTAATTAAAATAGAACTTTCACACATTTGTTCTTCAGCGTTGATGGAACGTTGCATCAGACCTCAGAGTGGTGGCTGCAAATAGAAAGAGGCATCAGAGCCTGAGTGGCACATTTATTTTATTGGTGATCAGGTTTAGAAATAAAAAAAAAAAAAAACACACAACAATAGATACTAATATTAAGAAAAACTAATAATTTCCAAGGCTGGTAACAACTTAATCCCTACACCCATGAAAAAAGTGCACAGAGACTTTGGATCACGTTCATAGCATTACCGGCTTATCTCTAAAAATTTGAGGAACATATATCTTTTGCAGTAACTTTGCATGAGGGTTTATATTGCTTTATTAAAATAATATCTAAGATACGTAGATTAGATATTGCCCCCAACCACTCAGCGCACTGTAGCTGCTGCATTAAAGCACCTGAGAGAGATCAATGACTGATTTTTAGTGTGTTTACTATAATGTCATAATTTCTCTGTCAAGTTTATCTTTTGGTTTGTTAGATTGTGGATTTATTTTTTATCCTTCCTTGAAGAAATATTTTTAGCAAAAATTCCCCCCAAATATTCTAGCTTCTAAACATGTCAGTGTGAGTAGTTGTTGGATTTTTTTTCTTTTAAATACTGACTTTAAAAAAAAGCTAGTGTTGCTGTTTTTTGTCCTCTTAAACTGCATTTCTCAGCCTGAAAAGGCCAGTTTTGTGAAACGTGTGTCCTGTGAATTTCCCCGACACAAAATGACTTCAAACAGCTTTTGCTTTCATCCATCCATCATCTCTACACCACTTAATCCTCACTACAGTCACTAGGGGCTGGAGTCTATCCCAGCTACTCAGGGTGAAGGCAGGTTCACCTGGACAGGTAACCAGTCTATCACAGGGCTACAGACAATTTAGAATCACCAATTAACCTCAACATGTTTCTGGACTGTGGGAGGAAGCCGGAGAACCCAGAGAGAACCCACACTGCACGGGGAGAACATGGAGACTCCACGCAGAAAGATCCCGGACGTCCTCACCAAGACACGAACCGGCAAACTTCTACAATTTCATTTAGGAGACGCGTTTATCCAAAGCAACGTACATCTGAGAGCAGATAGAACACAAGCAAGGATCTAGTCAGGAGAAAACAATCTAGATAAGTTCCATATCTATATTCTAGCTGTGAGGCGACGGTACTAACCACTGATCCACCCTGCAGCCCCTTTTGCCTTCATTATTTTCAAATATGAACACATTCTGAAGCCAACAGTGATGGACATTTTCCTGTAGGCTTCACTGTCAAGTTTACCACATGTTGTTTTTAATGGAGACAAACACGTCCATATTACTACATTGGGACCGTGTTGTTTGTTCTCCTGCTCTGCAGCAGTTTTTGCATTTATTTCATTTTTTTCTGTTGATAAAATTCATGTTTTGGCTCCCAAAGTAAAATCATGATGATTTGTAAACCAGTGACATGTTTTTTTTTTTATTTAATTGAACTAATAGTTGTGTTCAAATGTGCACACAGGTATTGGAGCATGGGAGCAGATCTCACAGATGAGGTGCAAGCCCTATAAAAAGATGCAGGTATGTTGATTTTCAGCTCATGATTGCATTTTGCTTCTTTTTGCGTCTGTTCAGCACAAGGACATGAAGGCAGCCGTTGTACTGCCGTGTTCGAACGTTCGAAAAGTATCAGCTCAGGATAAAAAAGAACAAATCTGGAACTAGAACTCTCTGTAACACAGAGTATCTCCCAAAATTCTCCTGTTGCACAGCTCGCAGCGTTTTTCTTCATATGTCCTCCAGACTTTCTAATTTACTGGCATACTGTATGTATTTCTGTCATCCATCAATCAAAGCACCATACAATTTGTGGAGAGAAAAATCTGTGACACTCAGCTTCTACTCAGTCATTCAGCTTAATGAACAAGCAACACAATACTGTATCATATAATCATGTATAGGGTATGTAATTGTTCGCATTAAAATGGCAAACGGCGGTTTCGTGTAACATGCATTTTGTTCATTCCTTTGTGCAATTTATGCTTTTTCAGTAGCTCTGCGCAAGCTGTGGCACACGAAATGCCAAAGAACACCGAGTACGTTTTTAAAAAAAGGGCCGTCCCCCTGCGTGTTCAAAGTGCTGCGATGCTCCCTGACCGCGCTAGTTTTATTTATTAAAGCCATGTTTTCTATGAGGAATAAATCATTTTGGCATTTTCAAATTGGTACTCCTTACCCCCCGTCTTTTAATTATGAAGATTCATGTGAACAACGGGAAGAAGATGAAAGATTAGGAGAGCGGTTGTTTGCTGCAAAGTGAACCCGCTTTACGGCTGTGGGCGCAGGCTCGGTCCCTCTTGTAAGATGTGGTCGGTGTGTACCAAACACTCGACCGCAGGGTTTTTCTCTGGGCCTAAGATGTCATCATGCAGTGCCTTACAGTGATTATGGTAGTGTACCTCTCCCATTATACCTTCACTCTGCTACCGCTGTTTTGGCTTGTTTGCCCATTGCATCTCAGTCATATACATCTCAGCCATAGCACTGGAAAGTATGTACTGCAGGTCAGCTCTAAATAGCATTCTTTCCCCGCAATAAAATGCTCTTCCACCTTAAACGTCCACTAAGCACTGAGGTTTAGACTCGAAACAGAAGGCAAGCCCAGCTTTTGCCGTCGTGGCGTCATTTTTTCCCACATTTCTCTCTATAAAGCTGCGAGGAAGTCGATTGTTTAAATCTTGCACACACAAAAAAAAAAAGTAGTAACTCATTCTACCCCAAAGCTGCATCATTTCACCCTGCATTAAACAAAAACCAAAACAATTTTTGGGCTGGTCTCAGTAAATCTTTTCTTCCCAACCACTTATCACAAGTTGCAAACCCACTGCCATTAGTGGTTTCTTGTGGGGTATATCCCCCTACTTTATGGCAAGTCGGAAAAAACTAGTGCAGCAGCATATTACTGCAGAATGATGGGTTCTGTCACCATAGCTACAACCCGGGAGAGGATTAACCTTGTGCAAACACTTCTCACCCCCTCGTGTTTTAACTGAAACGCTGCTTTCAAGGCTTGGAATTACAGTAGCCCAAAAACTATATCTCATTGTGCCACTTTTGGTTGCAGGTAAATATTGACTCACTCTGTAATGTTCACAAACATGCCTTTTTGTGTGTTTCCCAGAAAATGTTTGAGAGAAAAAACGTTTAAAAAATCCACATCACAAAGTGTCACTTGGGCCTCCGTTGAGCCGGAGTCCGTCCGGAGCGGCGCTGGTGACCCCCGTCGCTCTGGGTTTGGTGCACGCGAGGCCGTGCCAACCTCCAGCAGCAGCTACCAGCTTTGATGTGTTCAGCTCAATGAAGCGGCACTTCTCTGGCCAGCTATATATATATGGGGGGGGAAAGGAGGGGGGGGATGCATTTAAGGATAGACTCGTGGACCGCAGGCGTAATGAGTCTGTCATTTAGGTTTGGGACGCCTGCTCAGATGCCCTGATCACGTTCGATAAGGAGAACCTGCAGGACGAGATGGCGTACATCGTGGAGAACGACATCATCGTGGCCGCCATCACCAAACAGCTGGAAGGCCTGTCTGGTAAGCGAGTGATGAAAACAAGAAATCCCGCACAGTAGCTTTTATTTCTGTTCCATCTGCCTAATGGGCTCCGAGTCTGGCAGCTAATGCCGCCACTTTTATTCCATCCTGTCCCCAGGTTTTGTTTATTTGTACTCTCTCTCTCTCTCTGTGACTGTTTTTAAAGACAAGCTCTTGGACCCATCCATGTTTTTCCTGCAATTTCAATCAAAAACCCTCACATTTTGGGAAGCGCAGCGAGCCCGGCACCCTCCGAGGACACGTGAAATGGTCCAGTGACCTATTTAAAGCTGCCATGTGCTCCCTGGGCTTTGCCACCTTTTAAGACACTAAATACGCTGACAGTGTATTGCTGTTGACATTAGACCAACTTTTTTTTTTTTTTTGTGTGTGAGGTTCACAAATAAAACCGGGCCCTGCTATGTGCTCTGACAGTTAAAGTGGCATATTTATAAACAGTTTTCAACATTTTGCGCCAAACAACGGATGTGTGGTCACTGCACGTTTTCGCCTCATGTGCCTCCCATTTGTCCGCCTCTCTCTCTCCCTCTCATTTTGGTGTTGTTATGCTCAAGATGCACTACATGAAAAAGTGCACTCCTCGCCAGCTGCTTTCAATGCAACCCTGCTCTCCAATCACCAGAAAAAAAAAACCCATATTTGACACTGCAAAGCACCAGTAGCCGTTCTGTGGACGGGTCCCGGTCCAAGTCAGCGTGAGCCAGCGTATAGCTCAGGCTGCTTTCATGTTTCAGGATGTCCAGCTGCTGATATTTTAGGAAAGAGGGGCAGCTTCAGTTGCAAAATCTAACAAGCTGGCAGCATGCGCAGAGCGTGGAGTGGCGCGCGTGTAGATAAACACTATTAGTGAGCGCGATGCGGCAGGCCAAAGACCATTAAGGAGATTGTCGAATGTGAACTTTGGCAGCTCGCATGTGCCAGCGAGGGAAACCAGTGGTGTTTTATGAGGTGGTTTATAGATCTTCCACTGCTTTGGCTGCAGGCAAACCATCCTCTTTTTTTTTTTTTTTTTTTAAAGGGAAAAGTAGCAAAGCACTGATTTAGTGAGATGACACATTCACAGGACCCAGATTGATTTCTTTGTTGTGAGAAAGTCACACGAGTTGCTGCTTTTCTTTTTTTTTTTCCTTTCCTGCCTTTTTTTTTTTTTCTTTTCTTCTTTGTACAGTAGTGACCGATCCTATGTCCTTCTCGTTTGCCAGATAATGTGCAAGTTAAGTACAGGTCCAAGGTGGTGAAGTACACATGGCCCATGCCCCACCAGGCAGCAGACTCCATCCCATGGGTGCAGGTCACGTTGGCCAACGGGGAGACTCTTCAGACCAAGCTGCTGGTCAGTCTAATTCCGCCGCCACACAAACTGTCCTTTTGTCCTTTTTTTTTTTTGCTCTTTACCGCTTCTCATCTGTTTTTTTCTCAGATCGGCGCCGACGGACCGAACTCGATGGTGAGGCAGGAATTAGGGATTCCCACAGTAAAGTGGAATTATGACCAATCTGCTGTGGTGGCTGTTCTGCACCTATCGGAGGTAAGCATCGCATTCATCACAACCGTGTAATTGCTCTCACTTTATTATGGTGTGCGTATTTATAATTTGCAGACTTACATATTTAGGCAAACCTTATTGCAGGTTTCTGAGGGAATTCACTCAATGCTTTTACTATGATAGCAATTTTACCGTCACGTGTGTCACCGTGCGGAGGGTAAACCCACCCAGAAGCACCTTTTAGGACAGAATATGTGTGTAATCGAAATATGGCTGTGTGATGCAATAACACAGAGTGTCAGCGGATGTAATTCAGTTCAATTTATGTGTCAAACAGCCCACGGAGAACAATGTCGCATGGCAGAGGTTCCTCCCAACAGGACCCATTGCAATGCTACCGGTAATATATCTGAACTATGTCGCAGTATTTCTGTTTGTCGCGGACATAACTGACATTAAAGTCCACGCTCTGTGCACTGCAGCTGTCGGACACAGAGAGCTCCCTGGTGTGGTCAACCAGCCACCAGATCGCGGAGGGGCTGCTGGAGCTGGACGAGGAGAGCTTTGTTGACGCAATCAACTCTGCCTTCGTAAGTGTCACTGTAACCATAACAGCTGATCCCGTATGTATAGTCAGATTCCACATCTGTCAGTAAGACGTTGCATCAGCTCTATATTTGTGTGCTGTATGCGGCGGGGGGACTCCATGGAGTGACTCACACGTCGGGCTGTTTTGACTGACTCACACAAACAATACGCTCATTGTTTAGCCCACACTACACACAATACTAATATTTCACTTCAGGAATGATATACCTATCTATTTTTTATGTTTGGAGAAACTCCTTTTTCCCAAGCTGGCTATTTTTACTGGGCCTGCTGATGGATGGGGTCACCACGGTTGAGTCACGTTTGGTTTCAGGCCTGGTTTGCTAATTAAACCTGTGGTCTCCCAGTGTCGACCATTACTGCATGGAATGTTTTTCAAACAGAGCTAATTCAACTGCATAGCCTGGCCGGCATCTTCTTTTAATTAGGCCAGCTCTCGAGGCCCTGCCAAACCAGTTAGTTAGGGAGGGGAAAAAAAGGCACTTTCGCTGGCCTGGAGTTCAGCTTTGCTCCTGTGTCAGCTAATTTCTTTGTCCACTCTAAAGGATAATGTCTGTTTTCTCTCTCTTCTGACCGGTTCTCATTCTCTGTGAACGTGTCTGTCTTCTTGTCTGTCTCGCTGACAGTGGAGTAATGAGAACCAGTCGGAGCTAATTGAGACGGCTGGCTCGCTGTTCCGCGGCGCCCTGTCGGCCATCATGCCGTCTGCAGGTTCACCTCGACAGCTTCCTCCAAGCGTGGCAGGGATCGGCCCAAAGACCCGGGTCATGTTCCCGCTGGGTATGGGTCATGCATCCGAGTACATCAGGCACAGAGTGGCGCTCATTGGGTAAGAGGATAGATGTGACTGAAAGCAATGGCCCCCACGTTGATGCTTTTTTAAAGGAAGATACCAATCAAAAAAAATGTCAAGAGGGCTTTTGAATCCAGCGAATCTTCTGCTTCACATGTAAAGGAACGATGTTTTGACCTTGTGCTGTACACGAAACAGCATACCATGTACTGAATGTGTTTGGATAGCGGACAATGTGTTTGCCTTTGCAGGGATGCGGCCCACCGTGTCCATCCTCTGGCGGGTCAGGGAGCCAACCTGGGATTTGGGGATGTGGCTTGCCTCACGCAGCTCCTGAGCCAGGCAGCCTTTAACGGGAAGGACCTGGGTCAGTGAGAACTTTAAACAGACACAAACGCTGCAACCATAGCACAGTGGTTTCCCCTAAGCTCTTTTCCATTGCCCCAGCTCAGAACGCACACTGTTGATCCGGACTATATAAAGCATCAGCTTTTCCGGCAGCATTTATTTGATGTTTTTTCGTCCATTCTTCCAGGAACTGTATATAAGTTGCTTTTCATAAAAAATGAAAAATCCTGTTGTGGGATGAAGTGTTTGTTTTTTTGCTCTATTAAATGTTCTGAAGCTAATATAGCACCAGCGCATTGACTTGATGTAGAAAACATATGACAGGAATTGAGGCTTGAGTCGCATTCCCGCTTTTTAACTTGTCGTTTGTCTGAGCAGGAGCGATTCAGCACCTCTTAGAATACGAAACTGAACGTCAGCGACACAATCTGCCCATGATGGCTGCCATCGACCTCATGAAGCGGCTTTATTCCACCAACGCTGCTCCCGTGGTTCTCCTACGCACCTTCGGTCTGCAGGCCACCAACATGCTCCCAGCGCTAAAAGTAAGCTTCAGCGGCAACGTCACGTCTCGGCCAACCTGGCCGTCGCTCAGATAGCATCAACCACCTGTCAGGCCTAAGCCCCGCCCCCACCGTGACCCCACCCTCAGCCCTCTTTTTCTGATTACACGGAGCTTTACTTTTAGCGGTGTCTATAATTTTCAGGGTTCTGAACCTACTACTATGGCATCTAAGTTTAGCCCCAAATTTAGTGTTACCAAAAGTGTGTGGGTGGGGTGCATGGCTGGCCCTGGGGCAGCGGACAGTGGTGTTGGCTTGTGTTTTCACACCCCTTTTATTACCGACCACTCATGTGAAATGGCTTTATTCCCTACTAAGTGATTCAGACCAACACAACTGTAACGGGTTGTAAAGGCATTTCACTATGGAGGCACCAAGTTAAAAGTGACATTTTTTCCATATTAAATGCTGTGAGTTCACTGGTTTACAGGTCTTGTATAGAGGTTTGCAGCGCCACTCACTTATAAGAGGCTTTTAAGCATGATTCAGAGGTTACAGAGTTTTCAAGCCGGTGTTTCTTTCTCACTCTGCAGGAGCAGATCATGGCGTTCGCAAGCAAGTGATGCATCGGCCGAGCAGTGGATCTCCGGTGACAGTGAGCTTTAAAGCTTGTAAAAAGTTGTGAATGTGAAAAAAATAATAAAGATTTATTTTCCTCTCTACTCCTGAGTTCATTCATTTTATGTGTTTGTCACATTTCAAAATGAAAATTCAAATATGAAACACACAAAGATCACATTTTACATGTTTTATTAAAACATACATGTGTAGGATACACTTATGTCACCGGATTTAATACAAACAATTTACATATTGTCAGGCATCAGGTTATTTGTACTGACGCACACGGAGGCACTTTTCAGCGATTGTGCAGCATAAAGTTTTTGTAATGTAAAAGCAGTTCCTGTCAAATAGTTTCACTAAGTTTACATTATGTATATACAGCAGTAGTTATTGAATATGTCGAATACTGCAGAGACAGCATAGGCACGGCTTAGAGAGCAGTTACACAAAGAGATCAAAAGTTAATATTGGATGAGGATAATTAAAATACTCTACTCTTAGATAAACTTTCAGTTAATTAAATATTTGTACAGTTCACAAGAAAAGTCACAAGCAGGATTCAACATGACTAATGTTTCCGAGCAACAAACGAAGGAGAAGATGATTTGAAAAAAAATATTTGTACATAATTTGTGTTTACATTTTTGCTGGTTTTAATGGCTGTACATTAAGTTGTTGGATGCACTGGCTACCCTTGATGAGTGGTTCTTCTGATGCTGGTCTAAAATACAGCTCAGACCAAAGGCCCCTGCAATTTAGCCAACAACTTGATAAGGTCTTTTCCACTCTAGACGAAACAAACGATAATGGCTGCACTTTAAAAATAGGGACATTTACCTTGAACATGTAACGGCTATACATCACTCTGTGAGAGGCATCTCTCCACAGCCCCCTGAGTCATGGTGAATCCAACACTAACGATGATTATGTACAACTCTGTAGATGACATCAAAGCAACTGATCATGTCGTAGCTACAATATCTGCAGTTAAAGTGTTATGTGCAATGTTGAGGAAAAGAAGCTGTATGGTCGTCAACTACTCTTGTTTCCAATGAGCTCGTCTAATGCTAGGAGCAAATTAACTAGGGTCCTGTAAAATAACTTACTGCTAGATTAAAAAGAAAGATGATGTACAAGCATGTAGACAGACAACTATGGTTGCAATTCCAGCAACTAGTCACTAAATTTATACCACTGTAGGAGTACAGTGCAAGCCAGGACCACAGTAAGCACCAAAATACCATGACTGGTTGTGTTGCTTCTTGACTACCCTCTACACACTTTACAGGTAGGTGAGGAAGACATTTCAGATCAGACACCCATAAGGAATCAAAAATGTAAACGCATTACAAAAATAAAGTCAGCCCACCAGTCATGAGCTCAACATACAGTAGAAATAGCTGGCCTTATAAAAATATAGTGATTTCTTTTTCTTTTTCAACAGTTCTCGAAGTGTTCGCGGGGTGCTGAGGTTGAGGAGGAGATGAGGGGGGGCGCGGTGGGGGGGAGAGGAAGCATGGTGGGACCAGGTGTGTCTGTGAGGGTTAGATGGAGGGCTGATGGATGGAGGGTGGATGGATGGATGGATGGATGGATGGAGGAGGGGAAGCCCCACAGTGACAGACTGTCCCTCTCAGTGCCAGCTGCAGCGACGTGGAGCTGTCCTTAGTGGATGTTGAGGTTTCTGAAGTAGTCAAAGGTCGCCCCCAGGGCCCAACTTGTCTCCACGTTGTTCACCTTCTTGGCTAGCTGTTGAACCGAGCGAGAGGAGGATGGGCGTTAAAACCACAAAGAAACACTGATATTAAAAAATACAACCTGCGAGTCCTGTGACATGCTGCAGTGATGGAATGTGAAGGTTTTGACATGCAGCTTTTCATACAGTAACCTGATTGGCTTACCTGCAGCACAGTGTTGTCCTTGAAGCCGAAGCCCTCCTTTAGCAGGCAAGTGATATATGTCATATCCATGCAGAGGAAGGGGCTGATAGCACGGTATTTGGTCATTTTGTTGCACACTGCAAGCACAAAAAGAGAAGCGTTTTAGACATGGCATTAAGATTCACAAATTCTAGCAATCTGCATCCTATGATTCCATATCATAGCGACTAAAACTGCTTTTCTAACCCCTGTGCTACATGATTAAAACACGACCTTTCTGTTTTGTTTGGCTGAATAATCAGGGAGGTGCGAGGAGCAGGGCTGAAGGTCAGCGCAAGGGTGCGGGTGGGTGGTGGTGTTAAACAGCCTGTGTGTGTGTGTGTGTGTGTGTGTGTGTGTGTCAGTATGTGTCAGCGCCCAGGTGGTGTGTGGCTGTCAGGTGCCCTCCTGCCTGGGACCAGACAGACATCCTGCCAGCCCCAGCTTGAGTTAGACTTGTTCGTCGAGACCACGTGACAGAGTTCTCACAGCGCAAACAGCCTTACGTAACACACCAGCTCAATCCTACTTGCTATAAATGTGGTGTTCATCACAACTGTCACAAACTGATAAGCATAGTGTGTGTGTTGGTTAAACACACTAAAACGTTTTAGTGGGATGTTAACACACTGCGTATTTACTCTATAATCTGTCTCCATGACACATTTTAGCAAATAATCGGTTGCGTTTCGCTGCCGTAATGAATTCTTTTTTGACAGGATAAGCTGCGTCAATTTGGTGGAATTATTGGACACAAGCACACTTTTGCTGTTGAGAGTATAACTGTTTTAAATGAGTGGTTAGAAGGCTGATGTATATAAATATATATATATATATGACTTGTAAGATTGTTGGTTTCCTACACAAGTTTATCCAACGCTGGAGAAGACAGCGTGGAACTCTTACCTTCTTTGGCTCTCTTCTTGAAGTCCCTGACTTCAATCGCACCACCTCGACTGCCATCTGTGCAGAAAAACAAACATGCAATTTGAATACCTATTTTGTGCTAAAGGATGATAATTAGCATAAAAGATAATGGTACTGGAAGGTGACTCGTTAGTCTGGGCCCACTCACCGATGAGGCCAGACTCCACAGCTCTGTCAAAGTAATAGGAGAAGGCATAGAAGACGCTGCTGCCCTTCACTTCGTACGGCTGGTGGACTATTCCTTTGATGACCTTCATGACCTCGTAGTAGCACAGCTTGTAGCCTGCGTATCCTGGAGAAAGATAAAGCGGACACTGTAAGGTTTTTATGAAGGACAATTAAACAAAATATTGAAGAAAAAAAAAAACGCGGAGCAAACAGTGAGTTAAAGCTGCGAGGACGGATGGAATGCAATTGGGAGAGCGTGGAGCCTGACTCTGAGGTCAGCCAGCGGTTGAAGCCGGGGGCTCACCAGATAATATACAAGGGAAGCCCCAGAAGGACAAGTTTCCCACAGCCCCATGGGTACGGTTGGCTCAGTTGTGCCGGCGAAACCATGTGCTGACAAGAGTGGCAGTTAGCACAGCCCTGTTGTGCTGTCTATTTTTACCACATAATTGTGCGCGGGCCAGATCAAGCTGCTCGTTACACAAAAAAATAACAACTCAGGGACAAGCCCAGCATCTTTTGGCTACTTGACTGTGGTATGGGAGTGACTGCCTTATTTGTGAAGTTAACTGACAGTTTTCTTTTCGTTTAAATACAAGGTTGACTGCAGTATAATTGTTCAAGGGGGAAGACAGAGAGAGAGAGAGGATGACAAAACATGCGTTTGGCGCCAAGGTTGAAGGAACTTCAGCCGATAAATGTTCTCATGTGAGACTGTATTGTACTGTACTCTATTGTGTTCCAGAGCTGACAAAGGAATGCATGGATTGTTGGATCCAAGACACAGGGAAGGCAATCAAAACCTCAGAGTGCTTTTATCTTACCGTCTGGAATACCGCTAACTTTATAGGTGGTTCCTCCAAAAGTCACATCTTCCCTGAACTTTTTCGGGAGGCAGGAACTAGTGAAGATTTTCCAATCCAGACCTGGGAAAACGAAAACAAGACAAGAGTTTGCCATCTTCCACTGAATAAGCTTATGAAAGAATGACGCAGTATTGAAATAGAAATGTGTTAAAAAGGTAAGAGTGACTCTACCATCAGCGCCCAGAGCTCCAAGAGTCGCCAGACGAGCCGCAAACAGTCCATTACCAAGGTAGCTGTATGATGGTGACGTATAATTATAGTGAGTTTTTTGACAGATATGAACGCTTTACTCTACATAATACCAACATGTACGTTTTAATGAGCAAAATCACATCTCGAGAAATTATACCGCAGCATTTCTCACTCTGTCATTTACCTGTGTGTGTAGAGCTGATACGTGTGGTTGAACATGTTGAATCTGGCGATGTAAGTTTGTGGAGCAGACTGGACGGTTTTCTGTCGGATTAATGACAAATGTTTAGTTGCATGCTTTTAATTAAAAACAAACAACTTATTGGCCATATCAAATATTCAATTTACCCTTGACTTTGGAAGGAAGGTGATCTGTGTAGATCCTCCACCCAAATCCAGAATCCCCACCGTCCTCCTGGTGTTGGAGTACAAGTGACCTGCAGCAAACAAGCAGAACCTGGATGAAGATGCGTCATCAGAGCAACAACTGGAGCAATTTTAGTGAGGAAATGATCCACTTTAAACCCACTAGGACCAGAGAGATATGAGCTGACAGATCATAGCTGTGAGGGGAAAGTACCTTTCTGGTTTGAGGCTTAAGGCTGTTGCTTAACATTAATTTCATGCATCCTGGCTGAGTCAGAAACGTGAGGAAATATTGCTTGTTTTTGCAACCTGTTTGGGGCCAGTGATTCAAACTCAAAACCTCAGAAAGGAGACAAGAGTCTTTCACTGCCGGGCTTCTGTGTACACTGGAGCCCCAGATATGAGCCTCCTGACCACTAACACCACCATAGCAAAACACAAGCAATGTCTTACCTGTAAGGAAGTTCACTGTGACCCAGGCGAGGACTCCTAAAACAGGCGCATGGGTGAAAATGGAAGCATTAGTCAAACCCCCGAGAAGTGATTACAATTAAATTTTCCCATTTAAAAATGTTCGAGCGCTCAGAATAAACTGAATATGACTTTTAGTCCGGCTCTCCTTCATTAGGCCGATATTAAAATAGCAGCGTTTGGTTTAGC